AGAAGAAAACATATGAACTAAATTCAAGGACTTTGGACTTAAAGAGGATTTTATGAATTTGACCTCAAAGGCAAGGGAAGTAAAAGCAAAAAGAAATGAATGGGACTACATCAAACTAAAAAGCTTCTGCTCAGCAAAACAAATTGTTGGCAAGGTAAAGAGACAACCATCCAAATGGGAAAATATATTTGCAAGCAACGCCTCCAATAAGGGCCTAATATCCAAAATATACAAAGAACTCTATGACTCAATAACAACAAAAAACAAACGATCAAAATTGGGCAGTGGACTTGAACCGACACTTATCCCTACAGGACATACAAATGGCCTACAAATATTTGAAAAGATGCTCAATATCACTATTAGGAAAATGCAAATCAAAACCACAATGAAGTACCATCTCACACCTGTTAGAATGGTTATAATCAACTATAAAGTAATAACAAGTGTTGGAGAGGATGTGGAGAAAAAGGAACCCTCATACACTGCTGGTATGAATGTAAATTGGTACAGCCACTATGAAAAACAGTATGGAGGTTCCTCAAAAACTAAGAATTGCTCTATCATGTAATCCAGCAATCCCTCTACTGGGTATTTACCCCAAAGACTTGAAAACCCATGTCTGAAAAGATATTTGCACACTGATGTTCATAGCAGCATTAGTCACAGTGGCCAGGACATGAAAGCAACTGAAGTGTCCTATGATAGACGATTGGATAAAGAAGCTGTGGCACATATGTACAATGGAATATTACTCAGCCATAAGAAGAGATGAAATACTGCCATTTGCGACAACATGCATGGATAGATCATCATGCTAAGTGAAATAAATCAGAAAAAGTTAAAAACCATGATTTCACTCCTGTGTGGTGATATAAATCTAAAGGCAAACAACATGACAAACAGAGACTCATGGAACAAATCAGTGGACCAGTGTTTACCAGAGGCAGGTATAAGGAAGTTGGGGGAGGTAGGTAGCGGTAAAAGGGGTTAAAAGTTTGGTGATGCAAGGAATTCTAACTCTGGGTGGTGAACACATAACGCAACATACTGTTGAAGTACAAACTTGGAAACTTACTGAATTTTGTTGTTCACTTTCATCTCAAAAATATTTAATACTAAAAAAAATCAGTGTCTTTTTATATGGAGATATGAGTGTGTGTATCCTGCCTATAAATTCTTAGGGCTTCTTCTTTTATTATGGTTTTGAGGATTTGTATGTGATCACTGTCTTAGCCCTCCTTGTATAGCAGCTTCTTTAATGTACAAAACTGGACACATTCTCTTTGAAAAGAATGAACTGCATAACACTACAAAACTGATATGCTACATGCTTGTATATATCACTTTCCTGAATTTATAAATCCATTTAGGAGGGGGCTATTACTATAAACTTGCCTTATGCATATTCCATGGTATTTTGCTTTCTAGAATACGAGTTTACTTACGGTATATATAAACCTTGGATTCTCCTGTGCGGATATAGATAAAACTTTATGCTTACATAAATCAGGACTTCCTCTCCTCGTGTTTGTACACTCTGTATATAAGCAAACTCTTTCTGGATGTGTACTGAACTTACTGACTGTGAAAGACGCATAAAATCAGAATGGAAGTCGGGACATAAATTCAAAGGACCACAGGTTGTAGTATAAACAATTATACACCAACGACTTGGAAAACTCAGAAATTAATACATTTTTAAAAACATAAAATCTACAAAAACAATCTTGAAGAAATGTAAAATATGAGCACATTAACATCAAGTAAACAGAATGAATCAGTACTCTTAAACATCCCAACAGAAAAGCCCAGGACCAACTGGCTTCATTGCTGAGTTCTACCAAAATTAAAGAATTCATACAGATCCTTCTCAAACTCTTTCAAAAACCTGAAAATGAGGAAAGACTCTCAATCTCATTAGATGAGGCCAATATTATCCTGATCCAAAGCCAGATAAAGAAACTACAGGTCAATTTCCCTGATGACTACAGATGCAAAAATTCTCAACAGTATACTAGCAAATCCAATTCAACATCAAAAGAATCATGCACTATGATTAAGTGGGATTCATTCCAGGGATGCAAGGGTAGTTCAACATATGCAAACCAACAAATGTGATACTCCACAATAAAATGAAAGATAAAAATCATATGATCGTCTCTACAGATGCAGAAAAAGCATTTGACTTCCTCTCATGATAAACTGCTCAACAAATTAGGTAAAAACATACCTAGTACAGTAAATGCCATATCACAGACCCACAGTCAACATAACGGTGAAAGGTTAAAAATTTTTCTTCTCAGATCAAGAACAAATAAGAGTGCACACGCTCCCCACTACCTAATTTAGTACAGGAGAGACTCTAGACAGGGCAGTTAGGCAAGAGAAAGAAATAAAGGCATTCAAATTGGAAAAGAAGAAAAAAATCTCATTTGCAGATGATGCGATCTCACATATAGAAAAGCTTAAGACTCCAACAAAAATTATTAAAATAATGCTGAAAAATTTCAGGATTAAAAGAAATCCAAAAATTAGTTGCATTACTATTTACTAACAATTATCTAAAAAGAAATCTAAAACACTCCTACCATTTATGATAGCATCTAAAACAAGAGCGTACTTAAGAATAAATTTAACCAAAGAGGTGAAAGATACATACACTGAAAATTACAAAGTATTGATGAAAGAAAATTATTCCTAGAGACAAAGATAGTTAAATATTTGAAAATCAATGTATTATATCACATTAACAGATTGAAGAAAAAGCTATATCATTCTTATCATAGCATTTGACAAAACACAACACACTTTAATAAAAATCTCAACAAAAGAAAAAGAGGAAACTATCTCATATAAAAGCCATATATGAAAAACCCAGAAAGCTCAGTTTTCCTGATACTGGTAATAAAACGAGGATGCCCACTCTTGCCACGTTTTTTTCCCAAAAAAGATTTAAATTTAATTGTTAAAATGACGATACTACCCAAAGTGATTTACAGATTCAATACAATGCCTATCAAATTCTCAATGACATTTTCCTCCACTAATAGAAAATCATACCCTAGGATCCACATGGACTCTCAAAGAACTGTGAGTATTCAAAACAACCTTGAAAAAGAAGAAAACCAAAGGACTCACACTTCCTGATTTCATATATTACTACAAAGCTACAGTAATATAGATAAAGACCAATAGGATAAAATAAGAGCCCAGAAATAAACCTTTGCATACATGGTGTCAAATGATTTTTAACAAGGTACAAAAACTATTTGATGGAGAAAGGACAGAATTCAACAAAAGGTACTAAGAAAATTGGATATCTACATGCAAAAGAATGAAGCTGTATCCTTATCTGACACCATACACAAAAGTGAACTCAGAGTGGATCAAAACTTACATATAAGAACTAAAGCAAAACTCTTTCTTGGCTATGACACCAAAAGCACAGACAACAGAAGAAAATAATACACTAACTAGACTCACAAAAAATTTTAAAATTTTGTGTAATAAGTACTGTTGAGGACGAAGAGTGGAACCCTTGTTCACTGTTGGTGGAAATGTAAAACAGTACAGTTGCTATGGAAAACAGAATAGCAGTTCTTGAAAATAAAAATAGCATTACCTATTTATCAATAATTACACTTCTGGTTATGTACCTAAAAAATTGAAAAAAAGTTTTAAGTAGTTATTTGTACACATATGTTCATAGCAGCAGTGTGGATAACAACTAAACAAAAGCAACCCAAGTTCCATCAGCAGATGCATGGATAAGCAAAATGTGGTATGTACATACTATGGAATTATTCAGCCTTAAAAAGGAAGGAAATTCTGATACATGCTACTACATGGATGAACCTGAGGACACAGTGCTCAGTAAATTAAGCCAGTCATGCAAAAACAAAAACAAATACTGTATGATTTTCTCAGGTATTGAGAACAGTCAAAATCACAGACAAGGAGGTGAAGAGAAGTTATCTCGGAACAGGGTGGGGGAATGGGTAACTACTGCATAATGGGATTCAAGTTTTAATTTTACAAAATGAAAAAAGCTAAATCATATTCAGAGTATATTTCCTCTTAAGTCTCCAGTTTGCTTTGATTTATAGAGTACAAATTGATATAATGATAGAAATTTGATCATTAACATTAAAAAAAAGCAATAAACTAAATATTTTAGGAACACACAAGACAGAAGATACTTTATCTTCAACACTTTTATTGCCTTTTCGTAACATGTCTGTGAAATTGTTAAACAGGCAGCAAATATGCTTATAAAGTTAAAATACAAAATTTAGTAAAGTTCAGTTTCTTTGAATTTTTAAGCAAATTCAACTTAAGGTTATTTTCAATAATCTACAGTGGGTAGAAAATAGTTCAAAATCTTTGAATAACAATGTAAAATACATAAAGTATCTTTTTGAAGCATGAAAATGAATTTCATAGCTTTAAGTAATGATATAAAGTCTATACAATTAGTTGTGTGTGGATGTAGCTTTAATTTATACTACATCCAACAACAAATAACCCAGTCAACAGCATATACTCTGTAAACAGAACAAAACTGCACATCAAGTACCTTTACCAGATTTATATTCATAAACACCTGCTCAATTTTGATGGCCTCACTTATGAAAGTTAGCAGTCCCTATCACCAGGGCTTTGTATGAAAATAAAGTCAATAAAAAATAATTTTTATTCCAGTAAAAACAAACTTTGAACCAAAGAATTTTCTGCATAAACACTAGAGCAATTTCAAAAAAAACAAAAAAACAAAACCTAATTTAAATTGAAAACAAAGACATCTTTGTAAGTTTTCTAATTGGAGTCTCATATAAAGTCAAAATATTTTCATATGTATTAATGTACTATATATTTGTCAACCATATTTGTCAATTGTATCTTGACACATATCCACAAGATTGACAAAAACAAAAAACACAGTATACACAGTGGCACTACTCTGCTTACCAGTAGTCCTTCTCTAAGGTCATATCACTTGGATTTAAGCATTCCAAAGAAGAGCCAAGGATAGTCTGAAGTTCATTTGTAACTTCAACCAAGTCTAATAATTCCTTGCTTTTTGGGTTGAAGGCTTCCAGGTCTTTGGAACAAGAGAACAAGAGACTTGCTGAAACCTGCTTGTAAAACTCTCCTTCTGCAATTGTGACAATTTCCACATTGGGAAAACTGCAACGGAATATGTGGGATGACATTTCTAATTTTTTAAGTACATCTGAAAGCAGTAACCAGTTTCGTGGCCTATAAAACAAAAAGGAAGGTGGTTGAAACCTCTGGCAAATTAAAGGTGCCTCCAATAATTACAGCCCTTAATAAACCATTCTAAAGCCGTAACAAGAGCATTTACTTCCAGCACCCTGCTATTTTTCATCATACGCATTCACTGACCAACATTCTCCTTTCAAGGTAAGCAAAAGTATCTACTCCTAGTGAGAGTAACTTTGAATTCATCCAGTTTTAAGAGAACATATAGGGAAGACCAACTGGTTTTTAGAAAGGAGGATGAAAACCTTAATGAAACATCTTTTCTTTAACACATCTCCATTCTCAAACTCCTCATCTATTCGGATTCATGTTTTAAAGAAGCAAACTGTTACATTCCTTGCATATACGCTGCAACAGAACTTTATGATTTAGATCCTAATAAAATTTCACTGTTTATAATGGCTGACATACTTCAGAGCCTGGTGATGACTTTATTTATTAAGCACCTTTGTTAACAAACAGCAAAGCACAAGTCTCTTGATGATGTATACCCCAAGACTGGGTACCAGGGCATGGTGGCTCAAATATAGGGGCAAAACAATATCTTACCAAATCTAATATTAAAAAATCCCCAGAATCATGAATAATAATTTTCTAATCTTTTATGAGAAGGAAAATTATCAATATAGGTGAGAAGGAAAATTATCAATACACGTGCAGTGCGCTGCATGTGCCCAAGAAGGTCATCCCTTTAATGGTATGCTGGGGAGCTTCTAAAACTCTTTCTCAAAGATTTAATATCTTAGGTGTACAGGGACAAACTCTTCTGTAGAATTCCAATAAATGACAACTTCAACACTTTGGGCTCTAGGTACTTATTTGCCTTGGTAGTGTTCTGATAAGGATATTATATACTGTGCTATGAATCTGATCCCCATTGTGTATAATTGATCTTTTCTAGAAAGCACATTAAGTGAGATGCAGGGACACTTAGAATTCACTTACCTACCCGCCATCTATTTAAAAGGGTTTTTAAACATCCTACTACTCTAAGAAAACTCAGATATTTTTCAACCATATGCTTACCCTTGAGAAACGGAAACTTGGATGTTGTAACATGGGATTAGGGGGCTATCTGAAAATTCGAATTCAAACACATCTTCATCATCCTGGACCTCTGGTCCTGGAGGGTTTGCCAAAACATTAAATCCAGTTTCATGATCTGGTTCTAATGCAGGGAAAAAGAGAGAAATGAGTTAGCAGGCTCCATTAAAATTTCAGCTCTCACCAATTAAATGATTCTAAATAAAAAGAGATTATTTCCTAATAATCTCTGTTTAGAGTCCCACCACCCATCCTCCTCTCACTCATACCACAGAGGAATGTTCTGTAACTCATTCACTTCCCACTGAACTAAAAAGAACAATGTTACTCACCACACACACAGCTTCCATAGAACTCCCAAGGGCTATTAAATTCATCTCTGTGACCCTGGAGGTCATTTAAATAATCTGGAGAGAGGGAAAAAAGTTTTTAAAAAACTGTTGAAATAATAAAGATTTCAGCAAAGTTACAGGATAGTCAACATACAATAACTGGTTGCATTTCTAACAAAAAATCCAAGAAGGAAATAAAATCATCACAAAATAGCTTCAAAAAAAATACTTAGGAATAAACCTAATGAAGGGGCAAAAGATCTGTACACTGAAAACTAAAATGTTGATAACTCTAAGGAGATACAGATAAATGAGAAGGTATTTCATATTGATGGTTTAGATGACTTAATACTGTTAAAATGGACATACTACCTAAAGCAATCTATAGATTTATCATAACTCTTATCAAAATTCAATAACATTTTTCAAAAATAGAAAATCTGTCCTAAAATTAATATGAAATCTTGAGAGATTCCAAATAGCCAAAAATATCTTAAAAAAAAAAGTTGGTAGCTGCACACTTCCTAATTTCAAAATATACTGCAAAGCAACAGTAATTAAGACAATATATAATTGGCATAAATACAGACAAACATACAGACCAAAGGGATAAGAGAGCCAAACATAAAAATCCTTATATACTATCTCCTTCACAAGGACAATGAACTCTATATACAAAATTTAATGAATTCTATATACAAAATTTAACTCAAAAGTGGATTAAAGACCCAAACGTAAGACCTAAAACATAAAAGATAAAGGAAAGTATTCAGAAAATGGCAGTTGGCAGTAATTCTTGAATATGACACCAAAAGCACAGGCACAAAAAGCAAAAGCAAATAAATGTGACTACATGAATCTTAAAATCTACGTATTAAAGGAAATAGAAGAATGAAAAGGCAACCCACAGAAAGAAAATATTTGCAAACCATCTATCTGATAAAGGGTTAATAGCCAGAAAATATAAAAAAAAACAACTTCTACAACTCGACAAAAAACCAAATAACCAAATTAAAAATGAACAAAAGACGAAAAACTATTCTCCAATAAAGCTTTATAAATGGTCAATAAGTAAAGAAAAGATAATCAACATCACTAATCTTTAAAAAAATGCACATGTAACTATAATAAGATATCCATTATCCACTCACAGACTGCTGGTGGGAATGTAAAATGACATAGCCACTGTGGAAAAACAATATGGAGGTCCCCCAGAAAATTTAAAAGTGAATTATCATATAACCCAGCAATTTCACTTTTGAGTTTATACCCTGAAGAACTGAAAGGAGGATCTCAGATATTTTCACATATATATTTATTTATTATAGCATTCACAAAAATCAAAAGGTGCAAATAACCCAAATGTCCATCCACAGATATGTATAAAGAAAATATGGCATATACAGACAATGGAATATTACCCAGTCTTAAAAAAGGAATTCTTTCACATACTACAATGTGGAGGAACCTTGAAAACATGATCAGTGAAATAAACCAGTCATAAAAGGTCACATAATGTAAGATTTCACTTATATGAGGTACCTAAAGTAAGTGAAATGATAAAAACAAAAAGGAAAATGTTGCTTGCCAGAGAATGGGTGGAGAAGAGGTGAATATAAGTACTTTATGGGCATAAATTTTCATTTCCTCAAGATGAAGAGTTCTAGAGGGCTGTTGCATCACAATGTGAATATACTTAACACTACTGCACAGTACAGTTAAAAATGTTTGAGAGAAATTTTAATGGTATATGTTTCGAACTATAATTTAAAATAAAATAAAAAATTTAAAAGTTAGCATAAAAACTGATGATATAAAAAAAATGCTAACAGTTCAGGGATATTTCCTTATAAACTCAGAATAGGCTGGCATGTCACTTTCTCTATGTCCCCCCACAAAAAGCTCACTTGCTGCACATGGACGCAATTCTCTGACAACCTATTCTCTGCTGTATCTGACAAAAGCCTATATACCAAATCACCTGCTTTCCCTAGGTACAGAGCACTTACAATAATTTTAATTAACAAACAAAAGTTAGACCAGCAGGCTAAGAGCTTTTCAGCTATCATATACAAAAATAAAGGAGCATTACATTTACCTGTGATAAACTAAGATTTTCTAATAAGTAAACCTAAATTAAGATAAACAAATAGTTATTACCACGTGGGTTAGTGGCATTCTTTGGCAGTCAAGAATATAATAAAGAATTAAGTGTACATTCTTCACATTTATAAAAACCTTGTACTTCTTTAGGGATCCTGAAATGGCTCAGGCTTACACAATGGCTCATCTGCTGACTAAATATCACATAAACACACAGATAATTTCATGAATGAAAGGTCTGAGTCTTTAATTTCATACAGATTCAGAATGTAAAAAAATGATACCTATGTTAAAAATGTATTTGTAGAAAAGCAAATAACTTTAAGGAATCTTAAACATTAGTGAAAGGAGGTCAATTTAAATGCAGAATGGCTAAGCACACCAAAATAATTAGCTTAATTAGAACACTGTATCATACAAAAGGCAACATTACTGCTGTCTTAAAATCTAAAGGTGTTTCATGTCTGCCTAACAAAATGTAAAATTTTTTAGTCAGTATCTAAATTGTAAGAAAGAACATGTTTTTCTATTTTTTAAAATTAAATTTATTGGGGTGACCTAATTAATAAAATCGTATAGGTTTCAAGTGTACTATTTTCTTGAATTTTATCATTCTTGTTCCTTGAAGTAACCTACCTGCCAGAAACCTTTCCATAACATCGCTGTGAGTCATTTTCATAATGGTTCTATCTGAGTATGTAGCCAAAGTAGGGTCAGCACCATAGGAGAGAAGCAGGCGGACAATTTCCAAGTGATCATTCTCAACTGCATCATGCAGAGGCCTATGAACAGATATACAGTTGGATTAATCTTGACTACATACACATACATATGCTTATTTCTGGAGTTGTTTAATAATAGGCAAAACAGGCTGTGTGTGTACTAGGTGTGACAAGTCTCAAATGTACAATATTTCAACAACAAAGTCTGTATTGTCAAATTAGTCTACACACAGAAAACAAAGGCATATTATAAAAATGTTAGAGGGATTTCTTCAAGGAAAAAAGATAAAAATATAAATAATAAAATCACTACATATGTATCAAAAATTAATGTAAATATTAAACACTCCCATCGAAAGACATAGGTGGCTGAATGGATACGAAAACAAGACCCTTACATATGCTGGCTACAAGAAACTTTCTTCAGATCAAAAAAGTAACGAGACTGAAAGTAATGAGATGGAAAAGACATTTCATAGAAATAGAAATGAAAGAAAAAGCTGGGGTAGCAACACATTATCAGACAAAATAGACTTTGAAATGAAGGCTATAACTAGATACAAAGAACTATCCGTTAATTTTTTAATATTTTTTTTCAAAGAAACCCAAAACACTACTTTGAAGGGACATGTGCATCCATATGTTCATTGCATTATTTACAGTAGCCAAAATATGGAAGCAACCTGGGTGTCCATCAATGACTGAATGGATAAGAAAGTGGTACTCTTAAAGGATACACAAAATGTATAAACCCCTAACCAGACACCTCAAGAAAAATAGAGGCCTCAAATAAAATAAAAAATGAAACAAGCGACAACTGACTCCACAGGAATACAAAGGATCATAAGAAAGTATGATGAGCAATTATGCAGCAACAAATTGAACAATCTGGAAGAAATGGACACATTCCTAAAAACATACAATCTCCCAAGACTGAGTCAAGAAGAAACAGAAAATCTTAACTGACTACTACTAACATTCCACTAACAAATAAAATAAAAAATCCCAAAGAACAAAAAATCCCAGTATTCAAAAAAATCCCAAGAAAAACAAGAAGTCCTGGAGCAAATGGTTTCAAAGGTGAATTTTACCAAACATTAAAAAATTATCACCTATTCTTCTCAAACTACTTCAAAAAATTCAAGAGAAGGAAACACTTCCTACTTCTTTCCACGAGGTCACCATTACCTTGATTCCAAAACCAGACAGAGACAGCACACACGAAAAAGAAAAACAGATGAACATTAATGCAAAAATCCTCAATTAAATATGGAATTCAGCAGTACTTTAAAAATATCATACACCATGATCAAGTTGGATTTATTCTTGGAATGCAAGGTTGGTACAATATCCACAAATCAATTACTGTGATATACCACATTATCAAATCAAAAGAAAAATCATACGACCATATCAATAGATGCACAAAAAACAATTGACAAAATCCAGAATCCATCTATGATAAAAACTCTCAGCAAAGCGGAAATGGAGTATACCTCAACATAACAAAGACCATATATGACAAACTTACAGCTAACATCACACTCAACGAGAAAAGGCTAAAAGTGTTTCCCTTAAGATCAGGAACAAGGCAAGGATGCCCACATTCCCCATGCCTATTCAACATTGTAGTGGAATTCTTAACTACAGCATTAAGGTAAGAAAGAGAAATAAAAGGCATCTGAATTGGAAAGGAAGAAGTAAGACTCATTATTTACAGATGACTTGATAATATCTAAAGAGAAGGCTAAAGATTCCACCAAAAAACTTAGAACTAATCAATGAATTCAGTAAAGTAGCAGGGTACAAAATAAATATTCAGAAGTCAGTGGCATTTTTGTACACTACCATTCTAATCTCCAACTTCTGCTTTTTTAGATTTCATATATAAGCATTTGTTTCTCTCTGATTTCATTTATCATAAAGCCCTCAAGGATCATTTAAGCTGTGGCAAATAGCACGATTTTGCTATTTTCTCATGGCTGGACAATATTCCTTTGTGTGTGGGGGGGGGCGGGGGGTGGAGTACTAATCTGTAGACAAATATTTAGGTTTACACAAGTTGGCCATAGAGAATAATGCTGCAGTGAACATAGTAGTATAGATCTCTGAGATAGTGACTTCATCCACTTCAGATAAAATACATATTTTGGGGATATTAACTCTTTATCTAGTATATGATTTGCAGATATTTTTGCCCATTCCATAGGTTGCCTTTTCATTTTCTTGATGATTACTTTTGCTGAGTAGAAGCTTTTTAGATCAATGTAGTCCCATTTGTTTTTAGCTTTGTTGCTTGTACTTTTGATGTTATATCCAAAAAAAAATCATTGCTAGCAGTATCAAGGAGCTTTTTTCTTTTGTTTTCTATACAAGTTTTACAGTTTCAGGTATATTTTAAGTTAATTTTTGTGAATGCTTTAAGATATTCTACTTTTCACAACATCCTTTTATTGAAAAAGCAATCAATTCTTTTTCCCATTGATTCTTCTTAGCTTCCTATGAAATAATTAACTATATATGTGTAGACTCTCCATTCTGTTCTACTAGTCTCTTTTTTTTATACCATACTGTGTTGATTACTATAGATTTGGAGTGTAGTTTAAAACCAGGAAGTGTGATACCTCCAATTTTGTTCTGTATCAGGATTGCTTTGACTATTCAAGGTCTTTGTCATGCTATACAAATTTTAGGGACTTTTTTCCTTTTATTTGAAAAATGTCATTAAAATTTTGACCAGGAGTGCACTGTATCTGTGGATGGCTTTGTGTAGTATGAATGGCCATGTGAATGGTATTCACTCTTCATATAAAAAAGACCTTTCTTCAACTGTTATATTTATTCCTCATCTACTGCTTTTTATGCTATTGTGAATGAGACTTTTTTCTTTTATATATATTTTGTTGGTGTATAGAAACAGGTATGTTCCTTCTGCTTCCAATTTGTTGGGATTTCTATCATGAAAATATACTGTATTTTGTTAATTTTTTCTGCTTTTGACATAATGAATTTTTAGCTTTCATTCTATTAATGTGGTTGGTTTATCAGATTTATTGATTTGCATATGCTGAACTACTGCATCACATGATGAATCCTATTTGATCATCTGAATGCTGTTTAATGTGATGTTGAATTTTGTTTACTAGAGAAAATTGCATGTTATTCATCAGGGATATCAACTTATGCTTCTTGTGTATATGTACTTATATGGCCTTTTGGGTCAGAATAATGCTGGTCTTATACAATAATTTTTAAAGTATTCCCTCCTCTTTAATTTTGTAAGAGTTTTAGTAGGATTATCTTGTCCATAAGTATTTCATAGAATTTACCAGTGAAACCATCTGGTTGCAGGCTTTTCTGTATTTCTGTACTGGGAGATTTTTGTATTACTGAATCAATTTCTTTATTTGTTAATGACTGTTTATATTTTCTATTTCTTCCTGATTCAGTTGGTGAGTTGTATGTATCTAGGAGTTATACATTTCTATTAGGTTATCCAATTTTTCATATACGATTGTTTCATCTCTTTTGATCCTATACTGTGGTATCAGTTGCAATGCTCCTTCTTTCCGTTATAATTTTAGTTGAGTCTTTTTTTTCCTAATCAAGCTAAAGTTTTGTCAATTTTGTTTTTTTTTCAAAAACGAGATCTTAGTGTTTGTTGATTTTTCTATTGCTTTCCTGTGGCCTCTATTTTATTTATTTCTCTTCTGATCATCATTATTTCCTTCACTCTGCTAATTTAGGGCTCACTGCATTAATTCCTTGAAGAATAAAGTTACTGTCTATTTAAAATCTTTTTTTTTTTTTTGAAGGCATTTTTCCCTATAAATGCACCTCTTAGAACGGCTTTTATAGTGTCTCATAGGTTTTGGTGTGTGGTTTTCAATTTTCATTTGTTTTGAGATATTCTGATTTTGATTTCTTGAACCATTCAAAATATGTTCAGGAGTGTATTGTTAAATTCCATGTATCTGTAAGTTTTCCATTTTTCTTCCTGTTGATTTCTAGTTTCATGCCATTCTGCTCAAAAAAAATATTTATCAATTTTCTTAAATTTACTAAGATTTGTTTGTGGTCTATCAGATGATCCATGCATACTAGAGATGAATGTATACTCTGATGGAATTTTCTATTATGACTGTTAAGTCCATTTGGTATAAAGTGTAGTTCAAATCTAATGTTTCCTTTTAATTTCCTATCTGGATAACCTATCCACTGCTTAAAGGGGGTACTAAGTCCCCTATTCTTATTGTATTTTTGACTATTTCTCCTTTCTGATCATGTTAGTTTTTGTGTAATACATATAGGTCCTCCAATATTGGGAGCATATATATTTACCACTGTTATGTCTTCTAGATGAGCTGAATTTTTATCATTATGTAATGACCTTCTTTGTCTTACCATTTTTGGCTTAAAGTCTAATTTTTTTGGTGGTAGTATAGCTATCCCCCCTCTCTTTAGGTTTTTATTTGCACTGAATATCTTCTTCAATCTCTAGTAGGAGGCATATAGTTGCATCTTGTTTTTTATACATCCAGCCATTTTGTATCTTTTAATTGGAAATTTCAATTACTGATATGTGAGGTCTTACTGTTGTCATCTGATGGCTTCCTGGCTGTTTTGTAGTTCTCGTCTTCCTTTTTTATTCTTTTGTGTGTTTCTTTTTGAACTGGTAATTTTCTATGGTAATATGCTGTGATCTCTTGTTGTATGTGTGTATGTAAGTTAGAATCTGCAATAAGTTTTTGCTTTGTGTTTACTCTGAGACTTACAAGAAACATAGAAATAATGAACTATTTTACATTAACATAACTTTTTAAAACTCTACACTTTTATGCCCCCTTATATGCCTTTAGTGCTGCAATTTGCCTTTCTATATTGTATTCACTTAATAGCTTTATTTTTGATACCTTTAATCTTTTTATATAAGTTGTTAACATACCATCATATTACAGTATTAGAGTTTCTCAATTTGACTATATATTTGCCTCTACCAATGTGTGGTATATTTTCATGTTTTTATTCCTACTTAGCATTCTCAAGTATTAGCTTGAAGAACTCCTTTCACAAATAGATAATGATAGAAGGAAATTTAATTTGGGGTTTTAAGCACATTGGAATATACATATGACATATTATTAAACTGTACACTTGAAAGCTATATATTCTTATTAACCAGTGTTACCCCAAAGAATTTAACAAAGGAAAAAAAGAACAGCATTCAGCATTTCTTATAAGATAGGTCTGCTGGTGGTGAACTCTTTCAGCTGTTTGTATTGGAAAGTCTTTTTTCTTTGCTGCTAAAAGATAACTTTGTAGGATAGAGTTTTTGCTAGCAATTTTTTTCTTTTAGCACTTTATATATTACCATTACTTCCTGGCCTAGAAGGCTTCTACTAATAAATCTGCTGATATCTTAATGGGATTTCCTTCATAGGTTACAATCTTCTTTTTTCCTAATGCTTTTAGAACCCTCTTTGAGATGTTCTGAACTGGAATAATGGAGTGATGTGTATCTTCATGAATTTGAATTTCAAATATCTCCCCAAGTTTGTAAAGTTCTCAGCCATTATTTCTTTACATAAGCTTTCTCCCTTCTCTCTCTTTTTTTCAGATTTACAATGATTTGAATACTGGTTTTTTTATGATGTTTCTTAGATCATGTAGGCTTTCTCCACTCTTATTTTTTTCTTTTTGGACTTGGTTATTTCAAAGTTTCTATATTATAGCTCATATTCTTTCTGCTATCTGGTCTATTCTGATACTGATGCAATTACATTTTCATTTATTAAATTCTTCAGCTCCAGAATTTCTTTTTTCATGTTATCTACTTCTGATAAATTTCACATTTCTATTGAGTATTGTTTTCCTGACGTGACTGAATAATCTTGTAGTTGGTTGTGGTCTATTAAGTTTCCTTAAAGAGCTCATCTGAATTCTTCAACTGGTAAATCACAGATCTCTATGTTTTTTGGTTTGGTTATTGAAAGGTTACTGAGATCCTTTCATTATGTCATGTTTCCATGAATTTTCATGTTCTTTTGAGTTTGTCATTACTGTTTTCACATTTGAAGTAGCAGCACTTCCTCTAATTTTTACTTACCACCTTCAGGGTAGAAATACATTTTGTTAGTCCTGGTATAGATTCTGAGGCTTTTTCTAAACTCACATGGGATATACCTGTGTTATGCTTTTAGTGCTTTCTCATGGCAGAGTTCTTAAGCTTGTACATCTTCTCTGGATCCTAGAACCACCAGGTGAGAGTTAGAAAGTGATTCTTTATTTCCATTTTTTTGGAAGAGTTTTATTAGATATTGTTAATTCTTTTCATAGTACCTAGCAAGTAAGCTATCTGATCCTGTTTGCTTTCTCTGTTGAGAAGCTTTTGATTACTTATTAAATATCCTTATTCATTACTAATTTGTTCAGTTTTCCTGTTACTTCATGCTCTAGGAACATATAACAGTTGCCTGCCACAGGAATTGTCTACCCATGAAAGACAGGTAGCAGCTAATAGACTAATAGCTAAAATTTACCAAAATTACATGTAATTTATTATTAGAGCCTTGCTGAAAATTGCATTAGACTCCAGAGTAGTTACAAAGTAATGTTACATCAAACACATTCTACCAGTACAATTGCTGTATAGGTGAGGAAACAGATTCTTGGCACTTCAATCTCTGCCAATTTCCCTCTCACTTCAGAAAGTTTAAAAAATTATATTAGCCAAAAATACACATTTGATTGAATTCCAGAGGATTCTGCCATCAATGTGCTCACTCATCTTTCCGCTAGGTGTTTATCATATACCTGAGAGCCACTGCCTATGCCATAGCAGGACATGTCACTGACCTTGTTCCATCCTGGGCACTGCAGTTGACATCAGCACCATATTTAAGCAGCTGTCGAACAATGCGGAGCCATCCTCCTGCACAAGCTTCATGCAGGGCACAGTAACCTGCATTGTCTTGATGATTCACATCACATATTTTGTTTTCCAGGCAGTACAAGACCCATTCCTATGCAAAAGAGAAGGCAGAATGCCATAAGATCACCATATAATGAACCTCATAGTAATGGCCTCTCCAAAGCCTGGTAGTACCCACTTTCACAGACATCTCTCCTCAGGCCTCAGTACACACTGCAGCATGTCTTGGGGATGGGGCAAAAATGTGTGTGAAATACTTGCTGATAGAGACAGTGTAACTATATTTTAAATCTAGCTCTACCTGGCCCTGGGGAAATTACCATTGAACTTCTCCAAGCCTCTAATTCTTCCTCTGTGAAGCAGGGGGAAGATAAGAGCCTCCAAATGGGAGTTGACAGGACATAATCAGACAGCTACAAAAGTCTACAGTCTGGCATGGTGAGCACAAATGGAACCTAAAATCTTGGGTTGGTAAGTACAAGGACATTCTCACACAACAGGTCCATTCAGTAGTGGTAGTGGATGACAACATAAGTTTAAATAAAAGTATGGATAAACAAGTGACAATGAGACATTAGATAACCTAGAGAACATTCCTTAACTTAAAAAGGGAAGGATGCCCCAGAGATTGGCCAGGTCTTCCTGCTCCTGCTTCCAGAACCTGGGAAGTAAATACTTCTGTTTTTGTATTAAAGAGGGATCCCTCCCTGTGTACCATATAAATACTTCAAATAACCTTATCCTCTATTTTACCTCATTCTCCACCCCCCACCCCCGGGGCCGAAAATAAATTTTCGTATGTTCACTTAAGTTCATTAAAAAAATAAACCTAAGATTCAGGGAAACATGGCAGTGTGTGAGACATCCTCATATCTCTCTCCTTGAAACAGCAATAAGGTGAACATCTAAAACTCAACAAAAAAACACCCAGACTGCACACCAGCATGTCTGAACGTGCGATCTGAGCATAAGAGCTACAATAAGTCAGAACCTCGGGTGTCAGACTGGGAGGAACAAAGAAGTTGCCTCTTGCAGCCGCCAGAGCTCCCTGCAGGAGGGGGAGGGTAGAGGAGAAGGTGCAGAAACTTCCCTGAACAGCCCTACCTAGAAGTGCTACGAGTTCCAACCAGCCAGTGGCTGGGCCCAGTCATCAGAGAAGAAAGAAAAGAAGTGGGACAGGACAGCAGAGAAAGAACTCCCAACCCAGAGGGCCCTTCCCTCAAAATCCTCCAAGACCAAATACTGCAGAGCCCCAAGAGAATCTGAGCAAACGCTGCCAAGACTGTCACTGACACTGACAGGGACTGAAACTGAAGATAGCCAGCGTAATTAAATATCTATAAGAAAATTAAAAAGACATTATTTAAGCTTTATGTAAAGCAGGGATACAAGAGGCTTAGATTCCATCTACTGCAAACCGAAAGAAAAGTGCCTTCTTTACAAACAGGCTAAAGAGAGACCTTCATATAATAAATCTTCTTTCCAAAAAAACAGCAGAATACACTTCTATTAAACACCATGAACAAACAAGGAGACAAGGCATCTCAGAAAGAAAGTGAAAAATTTCCAGAAAGTAAGCTTACAGACATAGAAATATGCAACTTAAATGACATAGAATTCAGGATGGTACTTCTGAAAAAACTCAGTGAGTTCCAAAATGAGTCTTATCAATAATTTCAAGAAATGAAAAAGCAACTAGATGGTCAGGGCAAGGAGAATGAAACTCTCAAAAAGAACAGAATAGATCTAGAGATAAGAAAACATACTGCAAGAGTTGAAAATGAAATAGCAATCCAGGGAAATAGAGCTGACCAAATGAAAGAAATAATCAGTAATATCAAGGACAGAAATCTAGAAATAAATCAGAAGGAAGAAGAGAGAAACCGAAGAATGAAAAATAATAAAAAGGAAATTCAAGAACTAGCTGATACCATCAGGAGAGGAAACATAATAATGGACATTCTCAAAGGGGACAGAAAGGGGGCAGGGACTAGAAAGCATTTTCAGACAAATAGTGAATAAGAATTTCCCAAATTTAAAGAATGAACTGGAGCTTGGCATTCAAGAAGTCAACAGAACACCCAATAATCTCAACCCAAAGAGGTCTTCACCAATACACACTGTATTAAAGTTATCAAAAATCGATGACAAAGATAGAATTCTCAGGGCAGCCAGGTAACTTATAAAGGAACAGTAACTTATAAAGGAAAACCCATTAGATTATCCTTAGACTTCTCAGCACAAACCTTACAAGCCAGAAAGGAATGGATTCAACTATTTAAACTATTAAGTGAAAGGAACTACCAGACAAGAATAAAGTGTCCAGCAAAGCTCGCCTTTAGATTTGAAGGAGAAATTAAGACTTTTCCAGATATACAAAAATTGACGGAATTCTCCATTATTAGTCCTGCACTACAGGAAATACTGAAAGGAGTCAGCTCACCTAAAACAAAATGACAAAACAACAACAAAAATATGTAATTAGGAGTAAGTGACTATCAGGCAACCAGAAGCAAAGAAGTACAATCCCTACTAAAACAAAACATTATAAGTTTAAATAATAAGAGATATACTATAGCAAGGTAGTAATGAATGTTCAGCATACATAGAGACAAAATGAGATAACAATGACTGACAAGGGGAGAATTCAAAGATCCAAATTCGCAACAAGGAAAGCAAATAAAGCACATGCAGAAGAAAATGGATGACTGTATATATGTAACTATTCTTTTCATATTTGTAATAGTAACCACATCCCAAGATTCAGAACTAAAGTATATAACACAAAACAAAAAGAACCAGAGGGAAAACACACAAAATCCAACCAAAGTTAAGAAAACAGAAACACAAGGACAAGGAAGCAATGGAAACATGGAGCTACCAGAAAGCAAAAAAAAAAATATGGCTGTAAGAAGACCTCATATTTCAATAATCACCCTAAATGTAAATGGACTGAACTCACCAATAAAAAGGCACAGACATCTCAGCTCCAAAGAAAAATACAGATGCAAAGTGAAAGGGTGTAAAATGATATCTCAAGCAAATGGCATTCAGAGAAAAGCAGGAGTAGCAGTACTAATATTGGAAGAAATAGATTTCAATATAAAAAAGGTAAAGAAAGATAATGTGGGACCCTTCATATAATAAAAAGAATCATTCACCAAGAAGACATAACACTTATTAACATCTATGCTCCCAATAAAGGAGCCCAGAATCATGAAAAGCAATTACTAACAAAACTAAAGGGAGAAACAGACCAAAACACTATTGTAGTAGGGGATATAAATACCCCGCTATCAGACATGGATAGATCATCCAAATAGAAAATCAATAAGAAAATAACATCCTTAAATGATGCATTAGACTAACTGGACATAATTGACATGTACAGAGCCTTCCATCCCTAAACAGCTGCTTATACATTCTTCTCTAGGGCACATGGAACATTCTGAAGAATCAACCACATACTGAGACACAGAGATAATATAAGCAGGTTGAAATCATACCAGTCATATTATCTGATCATAATGCTTTGAAACTAAAGGTTAATTGTAAAAAGAAATCAGAAATACATGGAGATTAAACAACATACTACTGAAGAATAACTGGGTCAGAGAAGAGATAAAAAAAGAGATCAAGAAATATACACAGAAACAAATGATAATGATACTACAACATATCAAGACTTTTCAGACATGGCAAAAGCAGTCATAAGAGAAAATTCTTATCATTACAGGCCTACCTCCAAAAACAAGAATGACCCCAAATAAACAACCTAATGCTTCATCTTAAAAAACTAGAAAAGGAAGACGTATGAAGTCTAAAATCAGCAGAAGGATAGAAATCATCAAAATTAGAGCAGCAATAAATAAAATTGAAAACAAAAACAAAACAATAGAAAAAATAAATGCAACAAAGAGCTGATTCTTTGAGAAGGTTCATAAAATTGACAAACCCTTGGCTAGAGTCACTAAAGAAAAAAGGGAAAGGACACAAATAAAATCAGGGATGAAAGAGGGGAAATTATGACTGACATTGCAGAAAATACAAAGGATCATGCAAGAATACTATGAAAAAGTATATAATACCAAATTTAATAACCTAGAAATGGACCAGTATGTAGAAAAATACAACTTTGCTAGACTGAATCAAAAACTGGAAAACCTAAAGAGAGCGTCAGCAGCATGGAAACTGAAACAGTCATCAAAAACCTACTAAAAAGTAAAGTCCAGGACCAGATAGCTTCACCAGTGAATTCTACCAAACATTCAAGGAAGATTTAATACCTATTCTCCAACTCTTCCAAAAAATCGAAGAGGAGGCAATACTTCCCAACTCATTTTATGAGGCCAATATTACCCTGATACCAAAACCAGGTAAAGAAAACACAGAAAAAGACTAAAGACCAATATCTCTCATGAACACAGATGCAAAAATCCTAAATAAAACACTAGTGAACCAAATACAGGAACATATTAAAAAGATTATATACTATCATCAAGTGGGCTTCATCCTAGGGGCACAGGGATGTTTCAACATACGCAAAGCTATTAATGTGATACACCACATAAACAAAATAAAAATAAGAAGCATATGATCATATCAATAGATGCAGAAAAAAGATTTCAACAAGATACAACATCCATTTATGATTAAAACAGTTCACAAAATCTGTAGAGAAGTACCTTAACATAATAAAGGCCACATACGACAAGCCCTCAGCCAAAATTATAGTGAATGGTGAAAAACTAAAAACCTTCCCTCTAAGATCAGGAACAAGGCAAGGCTGTCCACTATGGCCACTGCTATTCAGTATAATATTGGAGGTCCTAGCGGATGCAATCAGACAAAAGGATGATATAAAAGGCATCCAAACTGGAAATGAAGAAGTCAAACTGTCACTATCTGCTGATGACATGATTCTCTATATGGAATACCCTAGACTCCACAAGAACACTACTAGAAACAATAAGCAAATACAGTGAAATTTCTCCATACAAAATCAATGTTCAAAATTCCATAGTATTCCTATACTCTCATAATGAAGTGTCAGAAAAAGAAGTAAAAATAATTCCTTTTGCAACTGCACCAAAAAGAATAAAACACCTAGGAATAAATTTAACAAAATGTGAAGGACCTGTGTAATGAAAACTGCAAGATCTTATTAAAAGAATCAAAGAAGATATAAAGAAATAGGAAGATAGTCCATGTTCTTAGATTGGAAGAATCAACATACTTAAAATACTTTTAAACTATATAGTTTAATAATGCGTTATTATTGACATATCAATTTTAATAAAATGTAGCACAGTAATTTGAAGCTGTTAATAATAGGGACTTTGGGAGAGAATGCTAGATGAGAACTCTATTTTTGCTCAATTCTGTAAATATAAAACTGCAAAAAAATAATCTATAATTTTTTTTAAATTCTAGTAAAAGTACGGAAAGTAGTAATTCAATGTTCTATCATCTTGGTTAAGAAAGTTGCAAATATACAAAACAGTATTTGCTACCAAAAAACAAACACTATTTTCCTACAAGTCGTGCAGAGAACTATCAGGTTCTGAGAACGGGAGAGGACAATGGTATGCAGAGCCTTGCGGTACCTAACCATCATGGGGAGGTCAGGACGGCGTCAGAGCACGCCTCCCTTCTAAAACTCTTACCTCATATGTTAAATGTAAAACAGGGTTCATTCTAGCTGCTTGTTATGCCCTTTTGAGGATGTCAGCCAAAGATGAGCACTCACTTGAGAGCTAAGCAGAATGTTCTATATGCTCACTCTATAAACCTATTGAACAGACTGGTAAACCTGCCCTGTTGCTTCAGGTTAGCACAGTAGCTCCCTCCTGAAACAAGAGGAGGAAGAGAGGAGGCATGCCCACAAATTAAGTTTCTTCATTCAGACCCTGACTTGCCATAAAGCCCACAACACTCTGGGCTCCCATGCTACCAGCCTTGGAGCCTTGGATACTGAGCCAGAATGTTACATGAAGCTGTTATTCTTTTAGCAGGTCTTCAATAGCCAGACTCAAGTGGATAGCTGCAAGATAATGAGTTGCTTCTGCAGTCAGGGAGAGGAACATCCTATGGCTGTGTTCAGTTGTGAGCACCACTGAAATGCTGGGCACAGATGACTTTACCCATGTCCCTGTGGTCTGCCTGAGACCCTATTAACCCATGATCTATGTGCTCTGACAATGATAGCTTTTAGCTTTTACTTGGACATATTAATTGCTCTATGGCTGATTGAAGCGTACCAAGAAATTAAAGGACATCAAGGCTAATGCTGTTTGTCAAATCTTTTTCTGGAGGACAGCAAGAAATGGATGGTAACCTAACAGCCAGCTCATCCTTTTTATCATCAGCTGTCTTAACTGTGTTACTATCACAAAGTAATTTTCATTTCACCAAATTGCTATATCTTATTTCATCCCACAGTAATACCTATAAAATACCAGGAAAAGGAGGCCATTATTGTTACTCAAAACTTGGAGAAACTGAGGGCAACAGAGGTTAAGCTAGAAGTTCAAGTTTACATCAATTATGAAGTCCACTGGTAAGAGTCAAAAAGTGAAATCAATAGCCCCTACTAGAGAGATGCAATCCAGGCATAAGGAACATCCCTAAAACCTTTCCTGTTGTAATCAAGACAAACTACACTCTCTTAGTTATAAGGTTAGTGGCCTTTGTTTAGAGACCACTAACCTTATAACTAGAAAAGTTATAAGGTTATACGAGTTATAAGGTCCAATTTCCTACCCACAGAGTCAGAGTTCAGGTATAAACTTAGGGTTGAGGTGAGATTAACAGAATAATGGGCTCAGGGTACCGTGAACGAAAGCACACAGCTGGCCAGGATGAAATCCTATGAGTCCTTAGCAGATCTGGCCCACCATGGCTCCTATCACCAAGCTGAGCTTACCCTTATCTCCATAGTCAGCCTGCAGAGCTGCATTTTATTTTCACTATGCAATAACTGCTGGGCTCATGCCAGCTTTAAGAAATGCCTTTGCCCTGTAGTCTATTATATCACAATATAATAGAAGTACTCTATCTCACAGAGATTTTGAATTGTAAAAAGGTATTCCAATGTGATCCAGTCTTGAAAAGGAGCATGGGGTGGGGTGTAGACGTGGGGTGGCTGGGGTTTACAGCCAGGCTGCTGGATTACTACTTGTACAAGTATTATTTAATCATTTGAGAGCTCAGTGTCCTTGTCAAGTAGCAGGATAATACTAGTTACTACCTTGTGAAGATGTTGAAAAGATGAAATGAGTGACTATGTACCTATGTGGGTTTATAATAAGCATATAGTCAAGTGCTCAGAAAACATAAGGTATCACTGATATCAGCCATGCTGGGTAATGAAATGGAAGGTAAAATGGGCGGTGACTTTGAGGCAAAGCCTTAGTCCCTCCTCTTCAGTTTCAGGCTTTCTTGCTCTCTCAGAAAGAGAAGGCTACTCCCAAGCTACTACTCAGCATCTACTTTGTACAGACTTCTGTCCTATGCACAAGCAATCCAAAATAAAGCTAACAACTTATCTCCCCGTTACTAATCATGATCCAAAATTTCTCATTAAAATTTCTCCAGTTGTCAAGCTCTGCATTATATCAGATTTTATACCAGAAATAAATGAGAAGAGAGGATATCAAACAGCCTACCTGCATGAATAACAACATCAAAGAGGACTTTCTTTTCACCCTGGGACTGAACAAGCCACCAAAGAGAAGGCAGCCCAGTGAGGCTAACACAAATATTCCCCCACCTCTGCCACTGTGCACCAAGCTCCTCCAAACTCATGGAATAGCAGCCTAGGGTTTCTGAATGCAGAACAGTTACCTCGTAGCCAAGACGGGAGGCACGCTGCAGGAGGGTCTCACCAGTGTTCTTATTGACAATAAGTCTCCGTGCTTCTGGGGGCACTGGGCAGGACTGGGTGGTCTCTGGAGGGGTGCTTGAGTGTGGGAGCTTTAAGGACTGAGAAGGTCCTCGTAGTTCTTGCAAACAGTCAGATGGCTTGTTGTCCTGCTTGACTGGTGACAGATCACAGTCAAAACTGGGCTCAGGCTGCTTTCTCAATCTCTGCATGGTGACCTATCACAAAATCAGGCAGTGCACACATTTAAAGACATCTTACAACACCATCATTACCCCCCTCTCAGAGTTACAAACCTGTCTGAAAGAAGGCACTATTCTTTTCCGTTTGCGTGAGAGATGGATAGCAGATGTGAGTTAAGAGAAAAGGTTTCATTCTCAAAAGTTTGAAGCTACACAACTACCAGTACACATGACCCATAGGACTTCACAATGGCTTTGAGAGAAGAGTGCAGGAAAAGAAAAGCTTTGTTCTTGAGAAGTAGTCAGGAGGTGGGCAAGGAGGAATGGACGGAGAGCTTGCCCATATTACTCAGAAGAGAAGTGTCAAAAAGGTACCTTGCCATCAGCATTCTTGATGCAGTAATTCCTCATTAATAGGCCCTGCCTGGGCTCCTGAGGAATCAAATGTTTGGTTTTGCGCAGTCTCTTCCCAGATGGTTTCTCACTGTTGTCAGTGTATTGCTGCAGCGGAGAGGCAGCCTGAGAATCATATTTGTCATTTGTGCAAAGTATATCTGTATTCTGGCTTTCTTTAATTTTCTGATGTTCGGTATGCAAGCTGAAGGCTGATATGTAGTTTGGCTGAGCCCCCTCTTTGCTCCTTGCACTGGCGGATGAAAGAGTCTTCATGGAAAGAGAACTAGAGAATACTGAAAAGCCTTAAAGGGATGGGGGCAAGAAGAAAGGGGAGAAGAAGCAGTGTTACACGATTACAGCAGTGCAAAGAAGAAAACCCATTTTTAGCACCACTGGAGTGGCTTCAGTTTTTAAAGATATACTAATGATGTTTCAAAGAATTAACATTTTAACTGTCCTACATTCAAATGGAAAATAACCCATAAAACGTCAGTGCAAGTTTTTTAAAAAAGCAGCATCAAGCATTCAGAAGCCAGTCCTTCCTGTTCTTCTCCCCACCCAGTAGGCCTGGGTACTCAGGTTCTTCCCAAGGGTGGTCATGCAGGTTCTCAGGAACTGGTGACCAGACACAGCTTGAGACTGGACTAAGAGTACTTGCTTAGCCCCTGGGGTAATGCAGACTTCCTTCAGGCCAGCCATGCACTGGGTGATTAGCAGCCCAGGAAGCTGAGCTCCCTCCTCTCAGTTACACTACTCACTGTATATTCCAGAAGGAAGTATGGAGGCTGCAAGTTCATGAAAGAACTACTTGCCCACCTGCCTTACCTCAGAGTCAGTCAACTTCTACAGTGCTCAACTTCTCTCAAGAGCCTTCTCCCACAGGTATATGACTTACCCTCCAGAAGTGTGATGTGCAGTCACAAGATGGCCTCCACATACCTTGTTCATTTTCACCGGACGTTAGAGAGTCTTCCAACCAGCTTCTGTTGCCTTTGGCCTCTGCCCTTGTCCTGTCTTGTCCTTGTCTATCTTTGGAGATATTATTGTCCCGGGAAGTGACCTCAGGCCAAACTGCCTGGGTCATTTCCTTTCTGCCCTTCCAACTAGGTTTGTTCTCTGTTGCTGATCTCTGCTGCTTGGACTGTTCTCTACGGTGCAAGTGGCGTTGTTTTTTAGGATGGAGCCCTGTTAATTCAATGCACTCCTTTAGGTTGGTGAGCTCACTATAACATGGGTTTTCTAAGTGGCTTAAGAACGGTTTATAATTCCCCTCTCAGGGCAGTCATCTAATAGAGAAATAACCGCAAATTAATCCAAAAAATCCCCTGCATCACTAATGGTTAGGGAGAGTAGGAGTATACTTACTGTCTACCAGAGCTTGTGAACAAGTATTGAGAGAAGCCCATTTGTTTTTAGCCATCTTTAGCTTGAGCTACTGTCTCTGGTTTGGGTGTGAACACTTCCCTGAGGCTCCACAGTGGGACTTAGAACCACCACTGCTCCACCCTGAGAATCCCCCTGGGTGCCGTTTGGTGAGAGCATGTTAAAAACTCCTATCTGTCCACCTTTGCCTGCCTACACAGGTAGCTAAAGCAGACTCAACTCACTTTTGGAGACCCTTTTCCGCTTGGCTTTCAGAAGAGGTTTCTCTGGCAGCTGTTCTATAGTGGTCTCAGTGTGGGTACTCTCATCTGAGACACAGTGCTTTCTGTCTAGCCAATGCAGCATATCTGGGACCATGTGCTCAGCAGTTGGCTTGCTCAAAGGCTGTCTATCCATGAAGTACTTCTCCACAGGCAGGTCTTTGTCCTCTGGGACTTCCAATGGGTTGTGTTTGTTTCCAGCACTACACTTGCCTGGAGGGGAGAGAGAAATAACACAGAAGGCCCAAAGGTCACCGTAAGAAGGGAGGATTTGGAAGCAGGGAAGACTATGGGTCTCATATTGGAGATACAAAATCCTCAAAAACAGAAGTTTCCAAAGGAAAGACAACTGAAAACTATGAAGTAGCAAAGCAGAAAGCAGAATATTATACTAGAACTGGTTAAAATACAAATGTGTCCTACTTAGTAAACAGTGTCAACATTTTATCTTATTATAGCTGCGGCAGGAGGGAACAAGACTGAAGATAAGGAAAACAAAGCATTGACACTACCTCTTAAACACACATAGTCCCTTTCTTTTGGCAGCAAGATCCAATCAATACAAGGCTGAACTAAAAATTTCTACAAAAAACATTTGCTGAGGTTATTATTTTGAAATAAATAGAATGATGCAGTAAAGAAACTAAAGGTCCACTAGTTATCATCTACAAAAGGGAAAACACCAAAATTCACTTGACTCAACAAGAGACTTGATGAAGAGGAGGAAACAGTGTCAAAATAAAGTCCAACTTCTGATGAACAAAAGCAATGGTCTCTCTCTGCTGCGTTTGTTATATGAAAGAGGAGCATAGGAAGGCAAGGAAGCTGACTGTACCAACAGTGCTTTGAACATAAGTCTAGCAAAGCAAAAAGAAATGTTTCCTAGCACAACGTTGACATACAACTTCAAAGAACTCAAAGTAATAACCAGAAGTCATTATCTGCCCTTTTTCTCACATCACTGAAACCAAGAAGGTGCTCCCATTTCCTGTCCAGGAGGAAGGTCCTTGAGACCCTAACATCTCAGAAATACTCTGTACACTCATGGGCTCTAGACACCCCAACTGGCATTCTTTCTCACGCCTTCATTCAAGTGTAACTTACTGTGTGCATTATATAGTAAAGACCTTCATTTCCAAAAATGCTTCTTTTCAGTTGGCTCAAACCATGTGGTTTGAAGACAGGCCCTGCCATATCATCGTTACATACCTTAGTGTTAAATTAAGAATGAGTTTCTAGTGTTTCAGATTCCATATCTATAGAGTAACCCATGTATCATGGCCACCTCTATCTCTAAAAGCCTCAACCCTTACCAAAGAGGCTTCCTTCTGAAGAACATTTTTCACAAATTTTTCATTGCAAACTTGCTAACAATGAAGATAGTTTATATCTCACTCACTTGACTTTACTATAGGGCTGGCATCTCCTGCCACAAAAAATGGAAGACTTGTGATTACTTATTTCACAGGTGTTGGCAGATAGTGAATGACTGCCATATTCATCTTCCTGCTCCTCACTGAATGAGAACACTTGTACAAGTTGAGCCCTTCCCCTGTCTCTTCCACATTTCTCATCTGCCTACATCTAGAAGACACCCCTTCACCTATGAGGACACAGAGCATACTGCAAGGATGCCTGCCATCTCTGCTGGGATGGCTCTTTTATGCCTGTCATGTATCCAGAGGCTCCTCAGTGTGATGTCTGTGGTTACTTATCCTGAAGATTAAAATGAACACTTCATTGGTAAAATCAGTGAAATCATCAACATGCACAGTTTCTTTCTTCCTCATTTCACAAGAGGATCTTTTCCTGAACTAGGTCTCTCCAACCACCAGTGCCATTATGAGAAAAGAAAAAAGTAAAATAATTGAGGCATTTTTAGTACTGCATCTTAAAAGATTCAATTCTCCTAAGTGAAGTCTTTCCAAAATCTTAATCATAACTATGAAAATTATCATCATCCTGAAGAACACTCACCTACTTCCAAGATATACAGGTCAAATTCCATGTGAAATTCCTGCAAATATCAACCTGTACTGTCTAAAATGAAGTCATTTCAAAAACTACCAATACAAATCCCCTTAAGGATAAAGGAGATATAGAGATAAACATTAGGTTCCAGTATCACTGTTATTTTTGGCCTTTTTAAAGGAAGCCATGTCTGTTTGTCTGAACAGATGTGACCATGGCTGTGGTCAGGATTTAATACTTGCTCCATGCAGCACAATCTTACACTATACACAGATTTATCATTGTGCCATAGCATTACCTCACAAAAGGATCACTATGGCAACATTAATAAGTCACGGTGGCAAAGCAACCACTCCACTACTGAAGCTTAAACTTAAACAAAATGGGAGAGCACAGAGATTAAAGTTTAAATACCCTACACAACATGCAATTAGAACATCTTCAGCAAAGACTAATCTTGTAAAAAAACATCATCTACAGAAGAGGCATAGTGAATCTTTTCTAAGCTCAAAGCAGTTTATAAAACATAAAGGTGTTCTGCTGGAAGGCAGGTTTCCTGAGCTAAGAAGTTTCACGAAGCTGTTTGACTCGTGCTTCCTCCAATTCTTGGCCAGGCACTGTTCTGAGCAAGTGTTATGTCCACCACAGCCAAACGGACCGATGCTTCCTTGTCTCTCCCACTGACGGTTCCTATAAATGAATCTCCAAGTTTAAGAAACTTTCTATTTGTTGACTTTTAAGGAAAAAATTTCACTCTGCTGTCTGTGCTGTCATAGAGTAAATGAAAACCCTAACCATTGTTATTTTCAAATTAAGTCACTTCTTAAACAAGTCACTCCCAAATTGATGCACCCATTTCTATAATGTATTAAACTGTTTCTAACTCCTGGACCAGCCCTTCTTTGAAAAAACAGATGTGTCCCAGGAAATAACCTTTCCTAGGTTTCTCATTTCTGGATGCCACAACATTGTATAAACATTAGTAAGCAGAAACATCACTTTGATTGGAATTGGGACAGTATGTATAGGAAATTCTCATATCCTACCGTTGCAGAAACAAGACTGGCAAGAAACCAAGCAGCACTCGGAGAGTAAGAGAACTCAGGTTTATTGTGCCCACAGTCCCAGAAGAACTAGCGCTCTGAAGATCTGGGGCCCGAGCTCAGAGGTAACCTTACTTTTACACAGCTTAACAAGCAAAGGCGATATTTCTGTTCTTAACAAGTGAAGGCAATACATCTGTTATCTAGACAGAACAATCAAAGAAGAGGATGAGTCTTCAGCTGATTTTGAAACCACTCTGCCCTTTGGCCTATGCAGCAAGCATGTCTACAGAACCAGAAAAGCTGATTCCAAAGTTCGCCATTTCAGTGAAAAATTCTTCTTCACTACCACTCCATTGCCCAAACTAGGGGGGAAAAATATCCTCTATCCATAACAAGAAGATGTTTTCTATTCCAGCAGAAAGGAGGAGGAACTTCTTCTCCTTTGGCAAACACTCAGCCAATAAGAGATGACTACAAATCAGCCAATGAAAAGCCACTATACTCTTTATTTACAATGAGTGTGGACTCTTTGTTTACAATGGTACCTCTGCCTTTCTTTCCCTTTACTCTAAATGAACTTCCTGTCCTTAGCTGTCTAGAAAACATGCTGGCCATTAAAAACATGTGTTAAACTGAAAGTCTTTGCTGCTCCCAAATAAACCCATTATGATGCAGAAACACCTGGTTTTGTATTTCTTTAAGGTCAACAGTTCTAAAGAATAATCAGCCCTTCCCTGCACAGATGGAAAGAGCAGCCTATTTCAGCAGCCATCAAGGGAACATGGAACAATAGTAAATGAACAGATTCCTCTCAGCTCCCTCAGCTCTTGGTGTAGAGTCATCCCATTTTCAAAGATGTGGTAGCACAAACAACCTTCTTGGGTTTACTCACCTCTTTCATTGTCATTCTGGTTAGCAATTTCTTTCTCCAGGGCCACTGACTTCTGCTTTTTGTTCTGATTACCTTGCGGCCTTGCCCAGATAACAGGGCTGAATTTACGTACTTCAGAGTCTTTGGTTGCTGAGTGGCCACCTGTTGTCTCTTTCATCTCCAGCTCTGAGAAACGTATCATTGCACGCTAGAAAGAGAATAGAAATGGATAAAAATATAAAAGCTATTTCATTTGCCTTACCTTAAAGGGAAGTATTTCCAAAAAAAAAAAAAAAAAGTTTGCTGCACCATGAATTTTTTATGAAATAAAGGTCTTTTACCACATTCTTTTTATAAATTTTTAGATATGTAGAGATATGTGTTATATGTCAGTATGCAGATGAATACATTGTTGCAGAAAGACATTCTCTTTTGGAGGCAAATAAAACAAAAACAATACCAAAAAAACAGCATAAAAGAAAACATGAGCAACGAACAAAAATAAACACAAACTATAAACTTCCCTTTGTATATTTATAAATGAAATTCAACTCTAAATACTGTATATAATATCCTAGCAATTATAATTTGAAAAAAATTTAGAGAACTGACCTTATTGTGAGCAGCAGGTAGACATAAAGTACTATCTTCTTGTAATCCTTCCACTATGTAATTAAAGTGAGCACTCAATATATCATTAAGATAACTTCATCCATTTTTATAAAAATAAGCCAAATTTTTATGACGTTAGAAAAACAATTTGGCTTTACTAAACTTTCAAGCAAAAATAAAAATCTTGGGAAATTCATAATTCACTACCAACTAAAATACATGCTATGTCCCGTTATGCAACACGTGTATATGAAGATTGTATGAATCCCACAGGCATGCTTTAGCACATACCTCCACCAAGTATCACATAAGGCATTCTCAACAGTAATACTAGGTGTAACAGTTAATATACAGCAATGGCAGAGCAACAAATGCAACTAATAAGTAAACATTATGCATTCTTCAAATAGCCTTCATAATAATTAAAACTTCTGATATCACCATTTGAATAGAATTCTTATTTAATCTACAAAATAGAAACTATTCACACTCACAAACCTCCTAAGTGCTGTCACTACATCCCCTGACTGGTCACATTTCATACATTTAAATTAACATAAGTTTCATTAACCAAATCTGCCCAGTGTACTGCCCTTTCATACTTCCTTGGTCATTTTTACATACTAAAAAAACTGACAACTGGTAAAATTACTGAATTTGGGGTGGGGGTACTCACCTGCAATGCCCGCTGCTCTCGGCTGAGCTGACTGGAATCTGCATACAGTTCAGTAGTGACGCACTTGAATCTGTCACCAATGTAACCAGCAGAGCTGGCGATTCTCTTTGTCAGATTAGATGGCTTTGGCTTCACCACTTTGCCATCATTTGATTCTGCCTCATCAGCTCTGTCTTTGGTACAGGTAGGAGTGATGTCCACAGTCAGTGGGGCACCAACTACACAAAATGGTTTGGGATTCTCTTGGGTTTTACCAAAAGTTACAGCAGGACCATCACTCTCCACGGTTGGCTCCAGGAATGAAGTGGAGAGTGGCATCCCCAGATTCTCTTTGTTGGTTCCCACTGGAGCATTCTCCTTCCTTAAGCTGAAGACTGATTGGCTTGGAGAGTGTTTGAAACTATAGGCTTCACGGAAGTCACTTATGTGTCCTAAGTCCTCTCTCTGAGAGATAAAACTGCAGTGTGGCTGCAGAGCCAAATCAGCTGGGGACTTAGTGGGCTCAGTGCTCTGACCAACACTCTCAGCTGCAAGGCTGTGTTTGGACACATTTGTATCTCTTTTAGCATCTTGCTCTTCCCAGATGAAGTCTACATAGAGAGGCTTGTCACTTCTGACAACAGTTTTCCCTTGATTCCAGCTGGGGTTTGGCTTTAGGTTATTGTCACTGGAGACATCTGGAAGTAACCTGGTGCTGCTAGCTTCCAACATCTCTGAAAACTGGTTCTGAAGGTTTGAGTCTTCATAGCAGGCTCTCTCATGGGACCAGGATCTCCTTTCCGGTTTCTCCTCTTTTGTGATCTCTATGGGCGTGTGAGGTATCAACATGGAATGTACCAATTCCAGTCCGTCTTTGTGTTTTACAAAGTCTGGCTGGCCTGTTGGTAGTCCGTAAGGTTGTTCATACCTGGGGTCAAGGTGCCCAGGAAAGATGCTGCTATTGGGGGACAAAACTGGGTGAGAAGAGACAGGATGCTGGCCATGTAAGGGTAGGGAACTTACAGAAATGCTCTTAGGTGCTGGGTAAGGGAAATAACTCCTAGACTGGGGAATTGGTAGGGACCTGAAGACCTCATTTGGAGAAAGAAATATTGAGCTTGGTGAGAGTCCATTCTCACTTGCTTTGAAGGTCAGTTCTGAGTTGCTGGTTTTGACACTGTTGTTGCTGGTGCTACAGCTATGCTTGGCAGGCATGGTTTGGTGCTGGCCCATGTGCTGAATTACAGATGAAGAGGTGTCAACAGAGCTCCTGCTGGTCTTGCAGCTATATGCATTAGCACTTGTAACTGGGAACATAAAGGCTGGATGACCGGTGCTCAACACTGATCTTGAAACATTGGTGATAATGGTATCTGTGACACTTATATGGGGACACAAAAAATTCTGCTGATGTGGTACTGCCAAATCCAAGGTCTTGTTTTTCAGTAACATGCCTTTGCCACTGTTCCGTTCCTTTGTACTGGGGTCACACATTACCCAGGATGAGGGCTCCATGCTAATGATTTCAGATCCACAGATGGCACAGTTGTTTTCTGGAGGAGATAAGGTTTCTTTTGGAATCTCACTTCCAGAGAAGACTAAGTCATTTCCAGATCTGCTATGAACAACAACTGTGGCAGTCATCTTTTTCATGTGCTCAGCTTTGGAAGCATCAACATCTACCACTTTAGAAGACAATTCCAGTGGCTTACTGGTGATGTCTTTGGTAATCATCTGCTTCTCCAACAGAAGAGGTGAGCTACCATTTTTCCTGTCTTGACCCAGTGTTTGCTGAGAGTGCCTAGGAAGTGGTTGGGTACTTTTGGCCCCTTGTGGAGCCTTAGGATACTTGCTATTAGATAGCCTCGCCATGGGGAACTTGCTGCTATCTGTCATGTATGGCTTCGACAGGGTGGCAGAGGGCAAGTTGGAGACTCTAGTGTAGTGCTTATGGAATTCGAAGGTGTTTGCAGTGGGCTCCAAAGGAAGATGCATTTGGGGTGAAGGCGAAGGCAAAGGGGGAAACAGGAGAGCTGTGTCACTGGTAACTGGCTTGGCAGAGGATACCCTAGGGGGTTTACTGTGCTGGATGTGAGAATAAGCAGAGGAATCAACAGGGTTCCCAGGCATCACAGTCATCTTCCACGGCTGGCTTTTGTCTGTGCAGTAGACGAGAGGTGGCACAGATGGGGAGGCTGAAGGTGTAGAGAGCCTCATGGGTGAAGCCAGGGATGATTGGCTGTGGGGATTGATGTGGTAAGTTGGTGGCAGGTAGAGAAAGTGCTCCGTTTGGGAGCAGACCGGAGAATGCTGTGGCTGGGCCAAACTATAGGGTTGCTGAGGTAGCGAGGTCCTGGAAACATTCAGGGAATATTTAGTTGGTGAATTATGGAAAAGGTAGGTGGCTGGTGTGGCACCCTCCATGTAAGGGTTGACCAAAGGCAGCTGTAGACAAGTAGTGTCACTGATGTTGAGAGGGCTTTGTCTGTCACAGCCAGGCCTATCCAAGCCTAGTGCTTCTCCTGTGGGCACATCATTTTGTATTGTAGATGGTGTTTTATAAATAGCACTGATGTCATCTGTGGGATTTCTTAAGACAGCACACATGCCCACCATCTCAGGTGTATTCAACTGAAACTGTACCTCTGTATTTCTTTCTGAAGAAAACACAAGACCACCTAGACTGTTCATGGAAGCCTCTTCGCCTTCCTCTGAGTTCAGTCCACACAAGCTAGAAGAGACACAGAACCCTTCCTGATTAAGTCCAGAGTGGTCCATGTTCAATGCTTCCTGGCCATCAATCCAATGAGCCATAGTTACATCCACCTTTGCAGAAGAACAACATAGGTGTTACTTAGGATATTCTTTCAAAGAAGCTAGGCCCAGCCCAAGGGGAATCTACAAATTAGTTTAATGTGACATCAGCCAAACAACAGAGCAGAAAGATGTAAAGTTAACTAAAAATAAAATATTAACAGGGCTTACTTTTTCCTTATATAAACCCTTATTAAGGCAGTGTGCTGCTACCTGCTTTCTCTGTACCTGTATTCAACTAGTAGTCTATAAGCACACAAAATGTTGATATTTAGATTTAAGGATGATAAATTTAAAAGTCTGAAAGAAAATCTTTGTTAACCAAAAATATATATGGCAAAACTTTCTTTCAAAACTAAAAAAGAAATGACTGTTTCTAGATTTTAAAAAGCTAGAGCTAATCCTTCAAGTTGAAATGAAAGGATGCTACATAACACCACAATAAGGCTCTGCGCTATAAGGTTCTCTGGTAAAGGTAAATAAATAAAGGAATTTGTATTATGACCATCTAGGTCCGTAAGTTCATTAAGTCTCACTTAGAATTTATAAGACAAAAGAATAAGAAAATTTATTTATCTATGTTAAGGGGTACGATATACAGAAGATGTAATTTTTCCCATCTATATGGGAGAGTAGACACAGAAATAAGTAAAATTTCTGTACACCATTAATTTAAAATATGTTATTACAACTTAGATTTTTTACATAAAAAGAAATGGGAATGAAATCAAAGCATACACTATGAAAATCAACACACTACAATCAAAACCAATAAGAAAAAATGACAGAACAGATGCTTAACAAATATAAAAGACAAAATGACAATAGTCTGTCTTTATCAATAATTACTTTAAATGTAAGTTGATTAAACTCTCCAATCAAAAGAAATAGATTAACTACATAAAAACACACAATATAACTACAGATTATTGTTATCTAATAGTTAATAATACATAGACAACTATTGCTTTCTAAGGGAGACTCACTTGAGGACATATACTGAAAGTAAAAAGATGAGGAAAAGATAGATAAATGTAAATAGTAATTGGCAAACAGTTGGCTGCCTTTACTAATACTAGAAAAAAAAAACTTTAAGTAAAAACTTGTCAAGAGAGACAAAGAACTACATTGATAAAAGGGCCAATTAACCAATACGTCCACCAAATCAGAGCAGCAAATTAACCAATATCTCCGCCATATCAGAGCAGCAAACATGAGAAGCAAAACTAATAGAATTGAAAATATAGACAGCCATATAATAATACTACCCAGATAAGACCATGTTAGTCCACAAACCTTAAGTTTTAACAAATTTAAAAAGATGAAAATCATACCTTCCTGGACAATGAAATCAAACTAGAAATCAACAGAAGGAAACTTAAAACCAAAAAATGTGTGTAAATTAAAAATCATACTTTTTAAAAAACCATAAAGTCACAGAAGAAATCACAAAGCAAATATGAAAATACTCAGCAGTTCTACTGTGGGTGAATCACAAAAGAACTGAAAGTAGAGACTAGAATGAATACTTGTACACCAATATTTCTTTAACAACATTATTCAAATTAGTCAAAAGGTGCAAAATAACCCAGAAGTCCTAACAGATGAACAGATAAACAAAATATAGTATGTTGTTACAATATTATTCAAACTTAATATGGGAAGTATCACATACAGTACACCACTGATGAACCCTAAAGACATTACGCTGTATAGTTCCATATACGTGGGGTACCTAAATGAGACAAATACACAGAAAGCAGGATGGCTGGCATGGGAGAATCGGAAGTTAGCGTGTAATGTAGAGTTTCTGCTGGGAAATATGAAAGTTCTGGAGGTGGACAGCAGTGGGCCACACGATAATGTAAATGTATTCCAATGTAACAAAACTGTACATTTAAAATGATTAAAATCATCATTTTGTATAATGTATATTTTACCACAATAAAAAAACAAAACACATCAAGAAGAGGATATAGAGAAAACTGGAACAACTCTTGCTAGTATAAATGTAAAATGATGTAGCTACTGTGAAAAGTAGGCTGAGAGGTGCATAAAATGTTAAACATATAATTATATAATCCAAGAATTCCACTCCTATGTATATGAACAAAAGAATTTAAGTCAGGTGTTCCAACAAATACCTGTACACCAATGTTTATTAGGGGCATTACTGAAAATAGCCCAAAATAGGAAATAACCCAAATGTGCATCCTGGGATAAACAAATACATCCAATAGAAAGCGACTGACCCTTAAAAAAAACCTGAAATAGAGATACATGCTATAAGAAAGATGATAACTTGAAGACATTATGCTCTGTGAATAAAACAAAAGCCAGTCACAAAAGAATATCTACTATATTATTCCACTGATACAATATTAGAATTCTCACTCCTAAGGATAAAATGGCAAATTAAGAACACAGTATCCTGAAAGGTACTGTAATGGCTAAATCTTAAAGGGCCACAATCCTTCCCTGAATCCAGTTTCATGTTAAAGCTATTAATCAAGGGCTGGCAGCTTTGTGGAACTTTTTCTCCACCATCTTTTTTGGGGGCCATTTGGCTGAGAAGGTAAGTGAGGCTTTAACATTCAGTCTGTACAGTAGCCAAGGGGAAGAAATAATCTTCCTCCTCATGCCAAAAGCAAACAGGTACATTCACCTGTCTTCACTCATCCCATACATACAATCCTTCTTACTGTTCACCTTGCTGTGAAGTTTTCACCCAGAGTGTTGTTGAACAGATGTCCTCTTTTTTGATGGCAGTTTTTCTAGGGTCCAGTCTGTTTTTTAAAAAAATTCCAGGATGTTAAAAAAGATCCAAACAAGGAAATAGAAAATATCTCTTTCTAGGCAATTTCAATCGTAATGCGGACGCAGGAAGATAGTCTGTAATTGATGGTCTATAGATAACCAGGAGCAAAGGAATACATCTGGTCTGAATGTGCAAGGGCGGAGAAATTGACCTCTCTTGCTAGGGGCACTAAACAAAACCACACACAACACAACCCAAAGCACAGCAAACATTACCTCACCCTAACTCCTTTTTTCCTTTTCTAGTCTTTCAGGGACACATTTTGAAGTATATATTGCCAGATATCAGTCATTCAGTGATGCACAGATTCTTCCCGGAGTAGCAGTGTGAGTAGATTTGTTCAGAGATCTAGGACCAAATGTGAGCAATCTACAGAAATATGACCCATCAGATAAAGCAAATTTTATCCTTAGGCCCAACTATGTGCCTAATATTCTTTTCTTAGTCCAGTCTTTATCTGTCTTACAAATTAAGAAACTGACACTTGAGGGGCACAAATAACTTGGCCAAAGAGTCACACAACTAATAAAAATAAGCCAGGATCAAACTCTGATCTAGAAGTGCAGAGAGGAGTAAATTGCTAATGTGATTTTTCTGTTTTAAATACCTATTTTCAATAGTGTACACTTCAACGTTTGAACACTTCCTTAGTCTCCTCTATTGAAAGAGGCATAAAAAGATATCACTTAAGTTCTAGTAACTTGGGCACAAGAAGGCTTAAACCCAGTTTCTTTTATATCCTATAATCTTTTGGTCCATTTAAAAAACATTTTGCAAGTTTTCCCACAGTCTGCCTACTGTAATTATCCTGCTGTGAACCAATACTCCCCCAAGAAGGTTCCACTTTCCCCTACTCTAAGTAACTTAGAATAGGCAAGGTTATGTTCTGCTACTCATAGATTTCCTCTTCCTAGGAGCTAAGTTTTGCCACGTAAAGGAATAAATTATCTACATATAGCAAAGAACCTCTGCTCCTTTCCTAAGGCTTAAAGAAAACCACAGATAGTGAGGGTTTGGTAGAAGATTTGGGAGTGGCTTGCAAAATTCAGAAGTAGTCTACAAAATGCTGGGTCCCACTGGATCCCTGCATGTCCCCCCAAAAAAGTCAATCCCAAGAGAAATTGGGAGTATCCTTTCTTTTCTCCAGCCTTTCATCCCAGGGATTGAAAAACACTGAAGTGCTGGGAGGCAAACCTAGGAGACCAATATCCTCTCTTCACTCCAACCCTAATCTCCCAGATTTTCAGATGCTCCAGGAACTACCACATCCAACACTGCAGACTCCACAACCAAGGGCCAACGCCAGCAGGGACACTTAGGCCCAGTGCTCCTCCAGAAGCCAAGGCTCCTGTAATTACAATTATCATAAGGGCACAGATCTCTCTTGAAGTTGTGACCTCTAGAAGCTCTTGGACCTTTCCCCTGTTCTGCCCCTGGTATACGCATCTGACTTAGCAACTTTCCCAGCAGTTCCTCCAGTTTTCGCCTAATTAATAAATTTAATTTTTTTGTTTAAAGTTAGCATGCCTACTTTATGCATGTAAATCAATATAATAATTTAAAATCTAAATTCTCAGCCCAGCTCCAGATCAACTTAAATTGATCACTGTCCTCCTACTGTCTCTAAGCTTATGAATTAAGTTTTATGCTATCAGCAGGAGTTTCTAATCCAAGCAGACTTCCTGGGTGGACTCATCAGGAACACTGAGGCAGATGGGTGCCAATATGAGTTTTTGAGTAGGCAGACTTGGCTCTAAGATACAGTGTAAACATTCTGTTTTCAAATGCCCTCAATGAACTCTTTCTAAATAAAAATAAAATATCCTTACCCAAAAACACAATAAGGACAAACAGCAAAAGCTGTCTGGTCTAGCTTGACCTAAGTGGACCATCTGGCCCTCACAGCTACAGGCAGAAAAGGCCATCCACTTCTCACCCCAGGTGCTTCTCATTCTGGCAGACACAATCCATGCTTCAAAAAGGTAGACCATTTGCATACTGAAGGAATCTGGCAGGACATAAAGACTTCAAAGAAACTGGGTAGGGCCCTAGCCAGCTTGGCTTTCGCTACCTGGATGAAACCTCACCAGCCCCAAACCATATGAAGACACTAATACAGCCTAGATGTAAGGAGAAGGTCCTTTCCTACAAAAAGCATCGCTCTCTAACCCTTCTGAGGCTAGCAAAGGATCTTTATAGTTTCTTTCAGCCTAGGCTTTTGGGGATATAGGTTAAACCAGTGGGAGACGGATGAGGCAAGGCATAGGTGGACCCACACATTCTCCACCCTGTTGCACCTAGCTGGATCTACTAGGCCCAGTGCCATTTCTCTAGAAAACCGCCAAACTACAAACGTTAGGGCTGCTGGGCACTACCGAGTACTGTCTTGCCCACGCTTCGAACTTTCACCCAGTCCAGGGCCTAGCCCTTCCTCTTCCAACTTCAGACAGACTTCACCCATGTGTGGTCTTCCCATTTAAAAGTGGAATTCTCAAACGGGCTCAGAAAACTGCAAATAGACAGCGGGAGGAAACTGAACCTGAGCCCAAAGTTAAATGTGCATCTAGGGTCATCAAAGTGGCTGGTAATCCACACTATGCGAGCCATCATCCCATGGACTCCTTCAGAAAAAAATTTAATGCAAATAAAAAGATAACTGCTTTAATCCTCCTAGAGGTCACAGTTTTTTCAGTTCTGTCCTTCCTTGTATGCTAAGCCCTGCAACACCAAAGAAATAGGATACAAAACATCCACTT